TGACGGACAGGCTGGCATTAAGCATTAAACTCAAATCTTGGCTTGAGACGTTTCCTCAAAAACTTATGACTGACATCACAAACATGTTTTTCTACAGTTTGTGTTCCAGTTTTAACATGATAAGATACACTGAAAAGACAAATGTGACTAGGTGTTTTAGCGTACATAAACATTTTTGCCACTGTATGTTGAAGATTGATTTAAAGGTATCAAATCCCCCAACTTAACCCCCTTTTAAATTGCGTAATAGGTCAAATGTCATAACCTGCATATGTGTGTGCTTCTTTTTAGATAAAGATGTCATTATTATTGTTGATACTGACAAAAGGCAGAGATTGTATTTGTTGGAAGTTGCTGCTTGAATGCCCTAAAGCCTTATAAGATAATGAATAGCAATTATTTTTAATTTGTGTCCCATTCAAATAAGAACAATAAGCAACGTTAAACAATCCTTAAAAATTCTGATAACCACAATATCAAATGTGTACAAGAGCACAATTAATGTAATTGTGTTCTTGGTACCAAAATATTTACCAAGCCCGCTGTGTTTTCTGCTGTGATTGTCTTTCCTAAGCATTGAACCATTAATGGAAATGGGAAATTAGAAATGTGGGTCTTGAACCAGGAACCCACATGTTTGCAGCCATGTATAGAAAACAAAACTACTCGTTAAGTGTTTGAACCGTGGTGTTTCAGAAAGGATACTGTAACCCCTTTTTTCTTTAGGTGTTCTCATTTCGAAAAAAGAATAAGAAAAAAAAAGAAATCTAAAGATGATAGCTAACCCTTAGGGGCTTTTTGAGTCCCCAATTCAACATTATCACGCTGTTGTACAATGTCCGGTTACAATGAAAAATATCTCCTTTTTTGTACTTTAATAGGAATGAGCAGATAGGAAGAGCAATGTGGTTGTACAATATTTAAACACGTGAAGGAAAATGATGCAGTTCTCTACTAATAATAGTCAGGGCTTGTATTGTGAAGAAAAACACGGCAAAGTAAGAGACAAGGAAACAAATAGCTTCTGCTTGGTCCTTTTTCTGGGCTAAGGCACCATCTGGGTTCCCAGTCGACCTCTAGATCCCTCTGAGAGCTAGCTGACTCATGTCCGATCTAACATCTGACACTTTAGTATCTTCTATCCATCACCAGTAAAGACTTCAGCTCCCTCTAACTAGTCGACAAGAAGTGGGAATGTAGTAGCCCCACTATGCTCTTCATTCCTGTAAAACCTGAAAACCCTGCTGAGCTGGTGCTGAATCTTAAAGCCCTTTTTTTCAGGACCAGCTTGTCACTTTTTAAAAGAAAAACTGTTTTAAAATGTTGTTGTAGAAATAAGGTTTGTAAAGCAGCTTGTTGCCCAGTTTGAAAGCCCCAGCTGATAAATTGGGACAATCTGGGTAATGAAGCTGTCAACCCAAAATTGTTTGTTGTTCTGTGATCATTTTTATAGAAAATGACTATAAAGCCCTCACTGTGTGCAGTCTCTAGACTGTGATATTCCCAGTTTACCCAAAGTTAAGCCCCTGCTGACAACACACTGGATACTTGTATATATGTTTAGTTTGTTTCCGATGCATTTCTCTTTTCAGACTGTTGTCTCCATAGTTTGACACTAGAATCTCTCCTTCTTGCCTTTCTTCCCATATAAATCTGATTACCTGATGGTGGGTTGTGATGTTGCCTAGAATGATTGTTTACAATTTTATTCCATTTATCTCTGGATATTCTGTAAATATTGTAATTCATTGTCTTTTTTTAACTTGATAATAAAGTTATCAGATAACGGTTATATGTATACCTTCTCTTTGTACAGACACATCATGTACATTCAATCAGGGCTTTGAATTGTCTTCTTTTGCTTAATAGAGCATTATCCTCCAGAGACCCACCCATTCATTTTTTTGTCCTCTGTGGTGCACATTGGTTTTTTGGCCCATTACTTTGAGGTTATATATGCCACAGCATTAACTCCAATTGTACTCCACAGAGGACATCCTGGGCTTTTCAAACATATGACATGTGGGGGTGTGGCTTTGAAAAAGATAATTTCATTGTATTTCAAAATGGCGTCCATCAACACAAGCACTATTTATAGGAAGAGAAATGGTAATTTTGTAATTACCAGTGTTGTGAGTTCAATATTTTTTAATTAATTATAGTAAGGGAACATCTTAGGAGTTAGTGTAGTGAGTTTTCAGAGCAGTGTAATAATTATTTGATCTAAAACTAAATGTTTTTATGAATGTCCTCTGAGGAGGACATGGGGATTTGCTAGCTTTTTATTTCCCCCATTTTACACAACACAAATGGAGTCAGCTCACTCACCAAGGCAGAGAGAAATCTGAACGGAATCATTGAGGGAGACTCAGACATAGATGATGAGGATCCACAGGCAGTGATTGAGGAAGAGGAAGAGGTTGACAACTCAAATGAGGAGGCATTGACTAAGGAAGAGCAGGAGACAGTTACAGAAAAAAACTAACATGTATGTTTCTGTAGGGTTCATGGCAGACGGATGCAGTGGGAAAACATACATCAAGTGTCAGATGTATCTCTGCATTTCAAAAAAGGATGGAGTACTACAAATGAGGGCTCAGTATTTGTTGCATTGAGTTATTGTGCTCTAATGTTGTCTAAATGTACTTTGCATAAACAACACCCGATGTCCTCTACAAAGGACACACAATAAAACAAAAATATGTTTTTTTATTTTGTGTTAGTCATTATGTTAATACCACCCTAAAGACTTGTGTGATCTAAAAAAAAAAAAAGGAAATTTGAAACCTTTTTCTTTCTGGGTCTCAGGAGGGAAACAAGCTGCACTTTAGAAGATACTTTCAGACTTGACATGCTTGATGACACGCATAATATAATTTCTCATGGATGATATATCATTTCCGCTGCCCTCTAAATCAGTGAGTTATGCATATTAGCTCAGATGTCAAACTGTTCAAATTCACTGATAAGCAAGCTCCTCAAATATCAAATTGAGAAATTAAGTATAAGTGAAGTGCTTCACTATTAAGAGCTCCAAAGAACCAAGTCAGTAAAAGGCAAGTGCCATCTAACATGTTTTTTTTTTCTCATCAGATCAGATTTAATGCCTCTTTTCTTAACAAACTATATCAAATTTGAACAAATAATAGTGAAGTCGTTACTTGGATATTTATGTTGAATATGATTCTCCTAAGCAGAAGCTGTTTCTAGCTCTTGTTGTGTTTTCTTGTTTTAGTGACATACTGTAGGATTTCCTCTGTAACATGTCCACAGAGCCCTTGAAACAACCATTAATAGTCCCAGCAGCTCGTCCACAGGAAATAGCTTGGGGCTGAGAAGGCATCTCAGTGGCCTTCACTCTGTGTTACACCCTTCCACCCCTCTGTTTCTCTCTCTCTCTCTTCACTCCCTTCCACACCCTCCAAGAGCTCCGCTGACCAAAACCACAAACCGTGCAAATGCCAGTGTGTGTTGTGTGCGTCTTTGTGTGTCTGTGAAATGCACATGCATGAAATGATGCAGCTAAATACCACTAGTCCTTGAAATCAGCAGGCTATGCCTTTGCTTTATATGTCACTGTTGGTATGTGTTCAACATATCCCTGTATCACTAGAAAGCAGAACTTGGATAAGTCTATCTGTCGCACATGTCCTCTGAATTTCCTCTTCTGCCTCTTTTAGAAGGGACTGAGTCTTTATTTCACATGTCTAACATCATCTCTTAAAAATATCTTCAAATCACTAGGGATTAGCCTGTAATCTCTGTGGCTCACCACTTCAGAGGGGGCCCGATGGCAGACTGACGACCCCTGGAGACAGGAGCAAGAGGCACAGCCACAGTGAGGAGAGGGGAAAAGAGGACACTGCTGCTGCTGCTGCTGCTTCTGCTCCTGCTGCTGAGAGAGCAACACAAGGAATGCCTTATGAGTGTGCTCTCGGGCCAAGGCAGGAAAGGGCACTGCCCTTGTCATAATAACTGGACGATAAGAGAGGGGGAGGAGGATAAGAGTCGCAGAAGTGAAGAGACAGTTGAGAGGAGTGGGAGATAAACAGATTCACACATACGGTGATAGAAAGAGAGGTTGAGAGATATGAGAATAAGGGATAAGTGGCCTGAGGAAGAGACCCCTTTGAGCTCCAGCATATTATCTCCCACACTTAACAGTCCTCTCAGAGAGCTGTGCAGCATGTGAGACAGAAGTCAATAAAGCCTCTGAATACTGAGTGCTGAAAGGATCATATTGAAATGCATCCATGCTTGAAGGGCCTTGGATTGTTTGTGTTGACAGCTTAAAACACAAACTCAAGTTCATTAATGGAAGCAAGTTTTCACCACCAATGTTTGTTAATCTCAATAATAATACGTTTTTGTCACACTGTTAAAAGTTAACATGTCAAAGAGTACAAAACCGAAGTGAAACATGCCATATTTTTTAACATAAGTACAACAACATTGTTGTTCAAAAGTACACCCTAAATCAGCAATGCGTGTTTGTGAGAGTATATTATAAACATTAGGCTGCATATAATATTAATTATAAAATAAGAGGTAGGCCTATGTGTCTTCATGATACTTCACTCCATTAAGGGCAGGTTTTATGCTTTTGACTCTACTGGGCCTGGATATTGTCATTGGACAGAGCCCTGTAATAATACAAAACTATCCTATGGTAGCATTTATAAGGTGGCTAAATGGCTGCATATGACAAACTACAAAATGTAAATGTAGCTCAAATATTAGTTTCAGTAATAGCAATCAAAAACGACATATAATATTATACCACCAAGATTGTGCCAATTGCTTATTTTTTGACGTGCTACTTTTAGTACATTTTGCTTTAAAATTCTTCAAATTTGTATTGAAGTTGAACACAATACTTTTATTTGTAATTGGGTCTTTTAAAATCAGATATAAGGTGAGAAATTAGTAACATTTCCTATTAAAAATTGTTAAAAGATTTTTTTGCTGCATAGTTAAGGATAACCACTAGGAGCGCTGCAGCTTTAGTATGTTACATAGAAGAAGAAAAGCGAAAAGTCATGGCGGCTGACAGCTTGTAATGAGCCAACACAAACACACAAGCTTCTTGCAAGTTGGATCTACAACCTTTAAACTTAGCCCGGGGATAACAACTCTACCGACAAAATGCAGATAACTTTGAAAACCTTACAACAGCAGACGTTCAAAGTCGACATCGATGAAGAGGAGACGGTGAGAGTTGAAACCATGCATCCGTGAGGGGGGTGGAGTGGGGCTGGATACGTCCTGGAACGGAGGACTTTATTTTTTGACTATTTCAAATTAGACGACCGATAGACGGGTGTGCCTAAACGCCACTGATATATTTTAGCTTGCCTGACTCTTGGGGTTAATGGCGTTCATTTGATTCAGACTTGAGACAGATAGGCCCATTTTAATTAATACTGGTCAGCAAAGTAGTTTGTATTGTCAGCATTTAGCCGCAGCCCACCTATGGCTCTATATGGGGGGTGACAAGGTAGCATTACCGTAGACTTGCGTTTAATGTTTGAGTTGTGATAAATTAGCACAGTTAATTTTCTGTGGGATAAATTGTAATGAGTTACATGTAGGAGGCAGTACAAATTATAACGTTAAAGGTTACGTTAGTGGCAACTTAAACTAGCCAATTTAGTGTAGTTGTAACGTTATAAACCAGCACTAAGCGTTTATTGCTTCAGTCTCTTTCATTTACTTACTTGTTATGTCTAAAATATACTGTACATTTTTAATACAACTTCCCCCCCCCCCCCTTTTTATGTAAAGAAAGCATCTTTAACACGTTACTTTCGATGAGTTTGCTTGTGGCTAACGTTGTGTGAAGTAAGCCACCATAGTTTACTAACACACATTTGAATATACTCGTGAAAACTAAGTTTTATTAACCTGGGATTAGATCAAATAAAATAAAACGTCGTTATGCGACTCAATTGTAATGTATTCAATGTTTGAATTACATACCTTTTTAAACTCCAGTTTTATGAAGTACACTTTTAACTTTATCTTCTAACTCGTGCTTAAGTTCGGGCAGGGCGAAATGGTAACACGTATTATTGTATTATGTGTTCTACATGGATTGTAAATTCATGCTTTTTTTTGTACAGGTCAAGGCTTTGAAAGAGAAGATCGAACAGGAGAAAGGAAAGGAACATTTTTCAGTCGGTGGACTGAAGCTGATATATGCTGGTATGTTCCAGTCTATTTTTAACTTCAAGAAATGTACCCAAATACATGCCTTATGCTTAAGTGTATTTTGTATTGTGTGCTTTAAGCCATCACACATTTTAGTGATGTAAGCAATACCTGTGTTATGCTGAAACCTAGGAGGGGGGGGTTTCCATGTTATGGTGTATTCTGTACGGACACAGTGAGCCTAGATTTGTCACAAATGCTATCTATATTAGCTTATAAATTGTTATGCACATGTCTACCAACTTGATACATTTGACTATGCTTTGAAAGTAATTAATTGTAGACACTTAGTAATATCGTACTTATGTAAAACAAATCTCCTGTGCAATCAAGTGTTACTCATGCAAAGGGTGCCCTAATACAGTTTATAGGCACTGTGTATGTATCACATATTGTAGCTTTCAGACTAGGGGTTTAGTGTGACCTACTTAAAGTGGCTTCTCAGACATATACACACATTTAAAAACAATGCAACAAAAGCAATCAGATGCATGACAAAAGCAGGTGGTTTCTCCACTCAACAACCTTCTATTCAATGTTTACATATGATACCATCTATTGTTACATCCCCACATGTTACAAAGTTCATATCAGGTAAAGCCAATAGTGTTGTGACTCCTTTATCTGATTCATTTTCCTCTCAGGTAAAGTCCTCAGCGATGACACAGCCCTCAAAGAATACAATATCAATGAGAAGAACTTTGTGGTCGTCATGGTGACAAAGGTTTGTGAATTAAAAATGGTTTCATACCTTTTTTTTCAGGAGAATACAAAAAATACTGTTTTAGGCCCCTTACATAACACTTCTTGGTTTTTCTCAGTTTAAATCATATCTATCTGAATATCTTTGGCAAAACAACTAGGGATGTAACGATACCAAAAACTCACGGTATGATAATATCGCGATAATAAAGGAAAACAATTATTATATATTGAAAATTATTTTTCAATAAAAATGTTTTTTACTCGAAAAATGTTTCTTTATTAAATAATAAATCTGATTTGTACAGCATTTCAGTAGGATAGCAGTATTTTAAAGTGTCAGTAACAGACTGGAACAAGAAAACCAGTGTTTTTGTACCTAATAGTACTACCAAACAAAGTAGGCATTTTCTTTGTGCCACTGCATCTCACAAATAAACAAGGACATTTAATAATCAGACCCTGCAATAAAATAAATCAAGTTTCACTTAAGTTTTTCAAGTAACTCAACTCAAACTCACTAGTCACTCACTCAGCATCATCAGACAGGTTTTTAGGAATATGAGAATGTCCACATTTCCAGGTATTTATAAGCTGGGATGTTTGGGCATTTACAATATCCCCTGCTCTGGAAAAAACTCTCTCGCTTGGTACTGATGTTGCTGGGACAGCAGTGGTCGCGTTAACCGAATATTTTATTTATCAATGACGGAAAAATCTGAAAGCAGTCTGTCATTCATTTTGACAGATTAGAACAAACTCGGAACAGCGCCAACGTTTCCCCGCAGCGAGGCTCTGGTGTTATGCCGTGGTATGCATGCCCTCCAAAAGGAAATGATATAGTTTCCAAACCGTACTTTGCCGTACAGATCAATACATGTCTGGGAGGTTTTGCTTTACGCTGTGCGCGCTCCCGCGAGGTGCATGCACCCACGGCATAACACCGCCCCCCCGGTTGACAGTTCATGAGCGTGCTCTCTCGTGAACTGTTCAGACCCGACGGGTAATAAGGGATTATGACGGATATTATACGATCCTGTCTGTCAAAATGACGGACAGCGAAAAAGTCTAACGCCACCTCAGTGGGACGGAGAGATATGCTTTGGCCATGGGTGACAGCAGTGGGTCAAACTGTGCATTGTCTCTCCACCACTTCAAAAACAATACCGTTTTTGCCAAGAAGGTGAGGCTTATTGACAGGGCGAGATATAAATATACTGTTGGTACTTGTCAATGTCTCTAGGTGTGTACATGTAGCCCTGTAAATACGATGTCCTTTATTGTTATCTGTTGTTTTATGTTCATGTTGTAACCTACTTGCTGCCATGTTGGACAGGTCTCTCTTGAAAAAGAGATCGATGATCTCAATGGGACCATCTGGTTAAATAAAGGTTTAAAACAAAAAAAAGTGTTTTAAAAAAATAATATATTTTTTTTAAATCGCGGTAGATTTTGTCAGTCTCACGACGGTATTGGGACGTTTATTTACCGCGATATTCGGTATATCGTTACATCATCTTGGACTTGTGATGGACATGTTTCACTTTTTTTTTTACATTTCTAAATGAAACGAGCTATTGAAAATAAAAGTTAATTGCAACCCTATTATGAATATGCGCTAACATTAAACTATAAGCACATGTTTCTTGATTTGTCAACATTAACTTGGCAAACAGCCTAAACACACTCGACTGCTACATTCACAGCTATAACATTACTGCTTTCTATATACACACACACACTTTCTTCTTTATTTCTGCAAGGACAATTTATAAGACAATGACCCATTATGATTATCAAGCGATACAGGAGAATTTGAATGTTTGTATGATGTGAAATATTGTCTGGCAGGCTAAAGCAGCCTCAGCCGCTCCTCAGGCTTCACCCACCTCCTCGGCTCCCAGCGCTGCGGCCTCCTCGTCCAGCTCTGACTCCACAGCAGAGCGCTCCTCTACAGACGACAAGCCAGAGGAGAGGCCGTCGGCTGCTGCAGCTGCAGCGTCCACCACTGTCGGGTAAGGATGGGTGGGAGTGTGTCTCTAGATCTATCTGGTTTACGTGCGTCTTCTTTTGAGATGCATCGTGCAGATCACGCCTCACACATGGTCTGTTTTTTCTCTTGCAGAAGCTCTGAGGCCTCGACAAACACACTGATTGATGAGGCAGTTTCAAATCTAGGTAAGGCTACAATTGTTGTTGGTCATTATTGTTTTGCATTTTATTTGTGTCAGATTTAAATGTAATTCTAGATATGATATAACAAGTACCACACCCTTTGTTAGACAACAGTATTGTGGTTCCCTCAATGCCTTTGGGCTTAATCTTGTATTTGATCAATCTGTGCACCCACATGTAAACCAGGTGTCATTGTTGGCAACCTTGTTTCTTGTGAATATCTATATCACACTCGCATGGATGTTTTAAAATCAATAATCAGATGGATACTGCGGCTCGGCCGAAAAACATAATCCCACAGCTCCCCATGGCCACACGCTTTTAGCTTCACAGATATTGCTTTGCTCAGAGCAAATCCTGTAATTATTATGAATCATTGATGTGACTTTTCAGCTTTTGAAGCAGTTCATTTTGATGGGACATGGTAGAGAATTGATCTTTGTATGTATGCTACTTCCTATGATGCTCGTCCCCTGTCGCGCATTAAAGATGTTTGTTGTGTTTTGAGACCTTAAAAACATGTATTCTGTTTAACAGCATGCTGATAAATGTCTCAACAAATTCTAAGTGACCTTTAAAATATATCTTGAAATATGAGTTTTTGTTTTTTTGGTGTACGTTCTTAATGATCTGAAGTGGTGTTTCCTGTTCTTTGTGTGTCCCTTTAGTGACGGGCCCATCATATGATGCCATGGTGACCGAGATGATGCTTATGGGATACGAGAGGGAGCAGGTGGTGGCAGCTCTGAGAGCGAGCTTCAACAACCCCGACAGAGCGGTGGAGTACCTGCTCACGGTGAGAGCAGTGTGTGGTCTGTGGCAAATGTGTCTTAGAGTAAATTGCTGGATCATGTAAATGCAGTGCCTTTTGAATATGTAAGTTTTAGTTTACCTGCCAGTGACCTTCAGGACAAATGTTCCACCCTGACCTTCAGAACTCTTGAGTTGCATTCTTAATAATCAGAATCCTGAAATGTCACCTAATAACACAGAGGTACAAGCAGTTATGTGACATCAATATACTGTGTTATAATATATTGAATCTTTTTTTTCTTCCAGGGTATTCCAGGCAGAGATTCAGGCCTTGCAGCGGTAGTTCCTCCAGTGAGTGGAGTGTCTTCTGCACCCATAGGTGGCATTAGCCTTCCTGCCAACACTGGATCTTCTCCAAGTGCTGGAGGAGGTACGCTGCCCTTACTATTCTTCATTTTTCAACAGCCTTATTAAACCAATTTTTTTTTGTGTCTGGCTTTTTGCTGCTCAACGTCTGATTAACATGTCATTGTTTTAGGCAACCCCCTGAATTTCCTCAGGAATCAGCCCCAGTTCCACGTGATGCGTCAGCTGATCCAGCAGAATGCTGCTCTGCTTCCTGCGCTGCTGCAGGAGATCGGCAGGGAGAACCCCGAGCTGCTGCAGGTGGGGGGAGGGACTCAACACAGCTCTGATTTAAATGAGTTCATGGTTAAAGCAATAGTCACAGCAAACACTGATTGTACAGATCAAGATTACATCATGAGGAGTATTACTCAGTCGTACAGTATCCTGAGCTTTTGGACAAACATTATCTCAGTGTGGACTTGAGACTGATGAAGCCTTAAAATCTTAAGCAGTTATTAGCCAGACTTTTTGAGGGGGGGAGTCTACCTAGTTTTTATTTGCGTATTGTAATTTTTTGTTTTGAATATTACTTTCTGCCTCCGCTGTCCGCGTCTAAACTTTACATTTTCGTTGCAGGAGATCAGCAGCCACCAAGAGCAGTTCATCCAGATGCTGAATGAACCCAACACAGAGGCGGTGCCGGCGGGGGGTGTAGCAGGAGCGGGGGGAGCAGGGGGGACTGCAGGTGATGCGGCAGGCGGGAGTCAGATGAGCTACATCCAGGTCACGCCACAGGAGAAAGAGGCCATTGAGAGGGTGAGGCACCGTCACTTAGATCTGTAAGAAGTTCAGTCCTGCTTTCCTAGAAGAGCTCAAAGATGACGCACAACTCTGACAATAATGCTAAAACTATCTTGTTTTAGACCTAGTTGAAACTGGTAAAGCATACATTATCAAGTGCTTGGCTAATGTGCATCTCTCCTCTCTTATTGCAGCTAAAAGCTTTAGGGTTTCCAGAAGGACTCGTTATACAGGCGTACTTCGCCTGCGAGAAGAACGAGAACTTGGCGGCCAACTTCCTTTTACAACAGAACTTTGAAGATGATTAGATCGTCGTTTTGACCTTTTTCTTATTCCTTCTACTTTGATTGCTTAATATGTGTTCAACAAGCCTGATACATTTCCAAGATAAGTCAAATGTGTAACACTGGATCATTATCAGCTGGTGAACAAGATGTTGTTGGTGATCAGTTATAATGGAGGAACAATTAAAGTACAATACTTTTGCATCAGAAATCCCTTTTTTTAAACTTTAGTTAATGATTATAGTTTTGCAAAATGTGTCACATTATAAATGCAGTTTGTTCGGGGCAGATCCGATTCATGCACTCTTATTGTTCTGTTTTTTTAAGTTGACATGTAATGGAGATTTGAAAAATTAAAGCTGTGCACAACAAACATGCATTGCACTGGTTCTTATTTCACCTCAGTCATCTGCATTGACATCAAAAGTGTTCTAAACATGTATATACTTTACATGCATGCGGTAGGGTTAAGTTTCAATGACTTTAAACGGTAAAATAAAGACTTCAAAGTAAATATAAGGACTACCTTTCCTGCTGTGATTATACGGAGTGACTTAAATATGAAGTCCAAAGAGAAGCTTAACATTGATTAAACACTTTGTATTGAATTTCATTTTTCGGTGTTGACGCAGTCGATTGTATTTATTTTTTGTTTCCAGGTACATAAACCTCCCCTCTGTTTATGTGGGGTTACAAGTATAGAGTTATTTAAATGTACATTACAGAAAGTGAATAAAATGATGTGCATTGCCTCCATGTTTGGGTTAGATTTGTACTGCCTGAGCTACATTACTTAGCCACAATCTTCAGCTGTTATTTGGCTACATTAAACTGGGCAGTAATATGACATTGTGAATTCATCTTGGAGTCAATATATTGGTAGGTTATGACTTAAAGGACCAGAATTGAATAATAATTACATTCATGTGTGTACTCTTAAAAGTAGAGAAGGATTCAGTTGCACGTGCGCCTTTCAGTGTCATCTGCATGTAACCCCTGCTTATATTTGATAAGTTACCTCAGGGTTGTTAATGCACACCAACATCTAGAATGATGTTTATAGTCCTAAAAAGGGACTTTCCTCAATTTAGGAGTAAAAGCTGAAGACGAGCCCTGAGAGTGCTTCAAACTGAAGCGACCTGTAGGGGGCAACAGAGACCAGAGCATGTCTCAGAGTGAGCTGTTTGTCACAAGATGAGAGAATATCAGAGGTGTATTTGTAATTTTTACCGTGTATGAGGTTAATGTAGCAACATTTATTTTAATTAATTAATAGTTTAATGGTGCCTTCACTTTACTGGCTCACTTAAGTCACAGTTTAAAAACACATGTATACATACAGTATGTCCAGCTCCTTTTTTAAAAACCATTTATCACTACTACTAATACGTTATTTGTTTAGCGTGTGTGATTGAATTTTAAGACTTGTTTTGTGCCATGTTATGTTGCCATTATGTACAGTAGAATTATATGAACATGAAATAAATAGATAACTGTTCATTCTACATCAGCACTTCAGATACATATTAAAATTATTTGAAAGTTTACTAATCAACAAGAGGTTTGTCTTGTTTTTTACCAAATCATGACCTATATTTCTGTAAAGAATCAAGTGAGGAAAAAACACAACTATTAACATCGGTAAAGCATTATGCAAATAACCTTAAATATTACAATGCACAGTTTTGTTGAAACAAAGCATATAGCTGGATATGATGCATAATCTTTTCCAAACACAATCTCCCTGCTGCTTCTTTGACTTTATTTCATGTTGTGCTCCTGAGAGCTTCAGCAGATTTGGTGTCACCTCTGAATGTCAGCCAGTAACTCGGTTGTCCTCCTATTCTTCCCCCTGACAGGTGAAAAGAACCCCATGGAAAAAGGACATTGTGGGAGAGGCTTTTAAAATATTTTTAACGGCAACATTGTGATAGTTTGCCTGAGGCGATGCAGCTATTATCATGGGGGATATTGTGTGTGAGCTTAGCTTCCATTTAAAATACTTCTCCATTACACTTCCAGGGAAATACAGGAGGATTTTTGCCTGAAGAGTATAAAGGTCATTGTTGTTTTCTTATTTCAAATACATTTTATTTTAATATAGTGTAAAATACAAAACATTAACAAAGCATTTTTATTTACAAATGTACAAAATGCAAGATTATATTACATATTTTGGCTATAAACAAAAATCGTTTTGTTCAGAGTTACTCATTCAATACAAAAATATGAATGTCTCACATAAATTATTGCACTTCGCAACTGCAGTGCATTGAAGATTGCCATCACCATACAAGTGAAGTGTTCACCTGATTTAAGTCAGATTGTGGAGGAGAGGTTTCTGGGAAACACAAACAACCATATGGCACTTTTCATAGTGTTCACCCTTTTGTATATTTTCCATAATCTTTGGTACCTTTCTTTAATAAAAACAACTTTCTTCAGAGTCACTGAGCACCCTTCTCTATAAATTAACATTGTACCTGAAATCTATGGCATTGCAGGTGAAATGTGTATATAAATATAGATGTCTTTATTAATACAGTATTTGGAACAGTGTGTAGTTGATAAGAGCCTATATTGGCATGCTGCTGGTGTAAGGCCTCTGGAGATGTTTGTCTGTTGCTCCTGGTTTCCCTGACAGAAATACACTTCCAGTTAAAAAGCTGTTGGCACCTGGTCCTCCAAGTTTTGTCGGTTAAATAAGACAAATTCCAGTTTGGTCCCTTTCATAAAAGTTTACAACCCTGACAAAAAGCTCTTTTCAAGTCACCTGCACACCCTCTGTTTATGCTGTGAACACCACAGCTTGTCAGGTTGCTTGACAACGGCTTGAAGGCAAATTATGTTTTTTTTAAAAAAATTGGTAAAGTCAGGAGTTGTTTCTAACATATTTGTGTCTTTCTTTGGAGCCTTCATACATCGCCAAGTCTCATAAGTGTCTCTTCATATGTAGAGCGAGGTGGTCTGACCTTGAGAAGGCCCGGTCACATTTCTGACACTGAAACGGCCGGTGGCCCGTGTGTTTCCTGTAGTGGCGTGTGAGCTCGTCCGAACGTGCAAACTTCCAGCCGCAGCCCTCCCAGTCGCAGTGGTAAGGCTTCTCCCCTTTGATGGAAAACACAATACACACATGGAGCAGTTAGTGAGGTTACACCGGCCCAACCTCCCTTCACCCCCCCTCCAGGAGAAAAGAGGTCCGGGCTGTCCAACAGCTAGTGTATAAAAGGCCAAGCTAATACGCCTGGGGTTTGTATTTGAGCAGGGATCAGTGTCAACCTGTTTCACAGCACCTGCCAAACAAGTCCCCTCCCCCCCACCCATATAACCCCCATTCATGACTTGATAATCCACTGTTTGTTTTGGGTATTAATTAACTCTGAACAATGAAAACAGTAGGAAAAAGCTGCATTAAACAGTTAGTTAAAATAATATACTTTTCTCTTGTTAAGAATATAAAAAGCTGCCTGCATGTGTCATCCTTTATTCAAACCAGATAGAAATGGCTGACAGAAACATACAGTTCATACCTGTGTGTGTGCGGTGATGTGCTTTGAGATGGGAGCTCTTAGTGTACGTTTTGCCACAGCCAACATAGTCACAAGTGTGTGAGGCGACTCTCTTCCTCGGCCAGGAGCGCCTGCCGCGTTTGGGCTTTGGTTCCTCCGGTAAGTCCCCGCTGGAGATCATGAGGGGATCTGTGGGGTCAAAACATCACCGTCATCATCACGGTACCAATATTCAGGGCTTAAGTACTTCAACAACAAGGATGATCATTTTTTAAAGAGAAACACAAACGCATACTTTGGTATACTGTAGTAGAGTTGCAATATGTCTCTTTAAATGATATAACTCTTTTCCTTTGAGGTACATCAAGATGCAACATAACATCTTTAAATCGTTTTTTAAAGTTGAAAGTGTGAAAAGTTAACGTAAAGGGACACAACAATAGAAAATGAATACTGATCCTATAATAACAAACAGATATCTGGTATGTTTTGTTTAGCATCTGTTAATCTCCTTTTATGGGTGGTTGATATTTAATTGCTCTTTTTACTGCACTTTTAGTGCAGTCAAATTATTATTATTATGCTGCTGTGTTTATTGTATTTTTGTAACTTTGGCACAACAATATCCTTCGGGATAAATAAAGTCTTATCTTATCTCTTCTCTTATCCTTAAAGAACTTTATGATGAAAACAAAGTTTGTTGGACAAGACCATGGCATGTAGGTTTCAATCCAAACTTCTTATAATTAAAGCCCTAAAGGAAGAATATAATAAGAAGTATTTTACTAGAATCTACAGACTTTATATCCCTGTTGTCTTAACCACTATGTGAGTTTTTTCGTCCCACATTTAAGTCACTGCATTAGCTACAAGAGATTACAATAAGACGTTCCAAATAATGAGGAAAATAAACGTGTTCTGACCTTGGTACTGCAGGGAGGAGGGCTGAGGGAAGGAGGTGTAGCCCTGCGGGGAGCTGTGGTGGTATCCCTGGGGGGGGATCTGAGCGTGGGGGTGTCCCAGGATCTGGTGCTCCCGGCTGAGAGGATGGTCCGGTGAGAGGGACGAGGACGAGGATAACCTGCCGCCTGTCATGGATCTCCCCCCGCCTGGGAAGCCATGCAGCTCCAGCTGGCAGGGGCGCTGCTGCTGGCCCCCCCGGCCCAGGTGTAGGTCGATGGGCTGCGAGATGGTGCAGTTACTGAGGTTCTCCTGCTTTATCCTGTGGCACGCAAAGGAAGGCGAGACACGTGGAGGAGTGGGGTCTGACACCGCAGCCACGCAGGCTTTGCTTACATTCAAGCCTTGGCTGTATTCCCCCATGTCCATTGTTGTCTTTACCACAAATTTGCCGTGGAGGCTGGTAGGGTGGAGGTATGCCGGGTCCAACTCGGGTCTCATGAGCTCTGCCACAAAGCCTCCAGAGGGCGAGACGTCGCTGATGTCTGGGATGGTGTAAAGGAGGTCACTGGAAGTGTCCTGAGGGGAGGGGAGAGGGTAGGATGAGGAGAAAGAGCTGGGGGAAGGAGACAGAGTCTGGGCAGAGCTGCATGCCATGGCTTCCTCCTGCTGCTGCTGCTGCTGTTGTTGCTGCTGTTGTTGCTGCTGTAGGATAGAGTTAGAAAGAATAAAGTCGTAGTCCAAGTCCAGGTCAGGCTCTTCTTTCGTGGACATGCTGGGGCTCGTTGTGCTGGTGGCAGTGGGACGGTCGGGGTCCGAGCGGCTGCTTCCGGTTGGCACACTGGGTTTCTTAAGATGGGACAACTCCTCCTTCCATCTCTACAAGAAAGTTAAAGAGGCGTTATCGACTGCTTTTCTGAGCTGCTTGTTGGTGTGGGAAAGATACAGAGAGTAGTTGAGAATA